GCCGATCGGAGGGTATAAGGAGTATTCGGGTTAGTTACTCGAATGTGACCAAGAGTGGGTTTTATATGCCAAAGAATATGTCAATTAAGAGAATAGATGCTATTAAGCGATGGACGAGTTGTGGCCATTTTAAGTTCCCCATGTAATATTTAGGGGTCCCTTTGTTTTTTGGTCGAACTCGTTGTATTTATTTTCATCATTTAGAAATGAAGATCGGTAAGAGGTCGGGAGGGTGGAAGACGAAACTATTTTCTTTTGGGGCTCGATTGACTTTATTAAAGGTAGTTATCGATAACATTTTTATACATGTGATGGCAACAATTCCTATGCTTATGAGAACTATCCAAGTGCATTGATCGCATGATGGCTAATTTTTTATAGAGTTCTTTGAGGGAGAATCAACACTATTGGGTTTTATGGAATCAAATTTGTAAAACTTTAAGTAAAAGTGGTTTGGGGATTAGAAGTTTGGGTTAGGTAATGGATGCTCTTCGGGAAAAATTGGCTTAGTCCTACCTACGGGGATCAAGCCTTTGGGAGAGCTATTATGCACCACTTATTAACCTTACACTCTTGTAGTCAATGGATTCTTGGTAAAGGAGCAATTCCCTTTGGTAATGCTAATCGGTGTGGTAGTGTATTAGAGCCTTCTCTTCCTTTCATACCCATTTAATGGTAAGACAAGCTTTCTAGGAGTTAGAGGATTTTCTTGCCTTCATACCTAACCTCATCATAATGAGATTAAGTATTTATGTTTTGATGACAATATTGATGACAAGTTGGTTTGCACTTAAACTAAAATAGGTGCCTTTGAGACCAAAGCTTATTAGAATCGTTGTCGAATTTCTTCCTCTATTTAGCTATGGGCTATAAGAATCGGGAATGCTTTTATACCACCACGGGTTGGTGGTTTTATGTGGAAGTGGTTTAGAGGTGCTCTTCCCGTGGATTCAAGAATAAAAGAGCTTTAAATTCCTTTAGCTTCAAGTTGTCGATGTTATAGTCGTCATAAGGAATGGATAATGGTGCATCTATTTCTACATTCTCAAATTGTTTTGGAGGTTTGGAGGCATTTCGATAAAATTTTTAGCATACATAACTTCCTTACTTCTTTGGATTCTTATACTAATTGTTGGTTTAGTTCGATGTCTACTCGACTAGGCTTGTGCCATATTGGTACTTTCGTTTTGTCATGTGAAAAATTAAAAAAAGTATATTTAAAGCTAAATATAAGGATATTATAATAAAAGTATATGATATTATTAGATGAGTGAAAATGGATTTGACGAATATATGTATCTTGTATAAACCAAAAAAGACACCGAACATTATAAATCTATAAAAATTACAGGATTTAGGTATTTTACCTTTACAACTCGAAACTCTTAAAGAAGGTGTGTTTAAACTGGGAACCCCCAAATGAGGGACGTTATAAATTAAATATGGATGGCTTGGCTAAGGATGGGTTTTGCTTAGGAGGGGTTTGATTGAGATGCTACGAGTGTCTTTATCGTAGGTTTTGCAAGATATTATAGGGAAGGAACTAATACCAAGGCGGAGGCTTTTGCACTTCGGGATGGCTTATTACTCCGCAAAGTTTTAAACTTGGATTCGATCGTATTGAGTCCGACTATCTTATGGTGACTAACACAATGCTAGGATCGAATAGGGTGCCTTCGTCATACGTTTATGTTTTCGGGGAATGTCGAAAGCCGATGTGTAATCATAGTATCGCTTATGTTTGGAGGGAGAAAAACATGGTGGTAGATAGACTAGTAAATGAGGCCTTTCAACATATGATTGATTGTAGTTTTAGTCTTTTTTTAGATTTGCTTTTGGCTCGTAAATTAGTTAGTAAGACAGGATAACATGAGTTTGTTTAGTTTAGTTACGGGAAGTAATCTTGTTTTTCTCGAGGGTTAGGTTTCCTTGTCCCCTCATAATGTTGGGTAAGCCCGGATTGTCTCCCCTTATATAATTTTCACATTTTGATTAAAATTACCATGGTATCATCCTTGTTCTTAAAAAAAAAAAAAAAAAGGATTTCTAATAATGACATCTTGAGAGAGACCTCCAGGATTCCTAACGTCAAGTAAAAGATTTTGAGAGCTTGCTCCTTGCTCGGTTAACAATCTTCATGTTGAGCCACGTGAGGTTCTTCGACTACTTAGAGGTTTTTAATCACAAAACCCATATGCTTTGCTAATGGTAGAATACGTTCAATGAATGACTATACATCTATTTATTTTGATGTAAAATGAATATAAATTTTCATTATATTAAAATAAAATAGAATAAAAATTTATAAAACCATGTAGAAGTCTTAATTGTACGACTTTGGTATATGTGCTTTTTAGTAGTGCTTACTCACTTCGTAGTTGAGATCTCACATGGTTGTCATTAACGAGTTAATGGCCACCTATCCGTAGTGCTCATTCCACGAGTATACAAGCTAGAAAAATGTTATTTGCTACTATTTTATTTATTTTGCATTAAGTTCAAAGAAGGTTCCCAATTTTTTTTTTTTTTTTGGCTTGCAATAAAGCCGTGGTCCTCATTAAGCTTTCATTTTGAAGGCTTGATAAATAGCTAAATCGGAAGGTTACCTTTGCAATCATTTGTAATTTTTTTTAAAAAAACTTTTTATGACTAAGAAAATGTGGTCTTTATGGTTTAAAATGGGCTTTTACATGATTTTTAAGTTTTTAAGGTGAAAATTATGTAGAAATTGAGTATGGAGGACCACAAAATATCATCTAGGGTTTTTATGGTTTAAAATGGGTTTTTACATGATTTTCAAGTGTTTTAGGTGAAAATTATATAGAAATTGAGTATGCAGGTCCAAAAACAATGACCCCTTGATTTTCCAATGACAAAATGGTCTCTAGAAATTGCAAGTGGTGGTCGAAACATCTTGGAGAAGAAGGTGAAGATGACGCGTCATTCGGCCCTATTTTTCTCCTACATGCTTGGGCCGTCTAGCCCAAATTAACCAGTCTAGGCGCGCATCAATCCAACTTACTTCTCTCTCTCTCTCTCCCCTCTCAGATTTCCTTCTTTTTTTATTTTATTTTTTCATTATTTATTATTTGCTCAGTATTAATTTTCTCCAAATAATTAATATTTGTTTTTGTATTTTTTCAAATAATCTAAAAAAAGATTATTTTCTGTGATTCTGACTTTTTTGTTTACTTTTTAAAATTAATATAAATAATAATTATTTTTGTAAAAATAATGATTTTTCTAATCTTATAAAAAAATAATGATGGTTGATTACCAAATCTTTTTTTAATGATATTAGAGGTTTGATAATTAATGATTAATCATGTTAAGATGTATATTTTTAAAAATTTAGTGACAATAACACTATAATAAAATTAATATAGTGGTGATTTTTTTTTTGTTTTAAAAAATATCAATATTGATTATAGATTAATGTTGAAAAGAAAAAAAGTCTAAATAGCAAGGATTTTTATTGTTAATAATTTATCATCGTTTAGTTTGTATTAATTTTTAATTAATTATCTCTCATTTTAAAATTGATCATAATTCTTCAACATGTATTAAAAAAATTATTTTTAGAATTATGTTATTGCAAATAAAAAAAGTATTTGATATAGAGAATAATGAGATGTTTTAAATCAATAGTTATGTACTCACTTATTAAAATTAAGCACCCTTTTAACATTAATTACTCGAGCACCTTTTTTTATTTATGGATTTTGGGCTTTTTTTCAATTATTAACTCTTTTGATTAGATTTTTGAAGGCAATTCTCTTGTTCTTCTTGTGAGTGATGAAGAGATTAAAAGTGCTTTATTTTCTCTTTCGCTCAAGAAGAAATGAATCCATAAGTTCTTTCGCTACACTGACTTCTAGTAAGAAATTCCTTCATCTCAGATTAGATAAATAGCAAATTCTATATATTTTTTTAATGTAATGATCAAATATATCCATAAAATATATTTCAACTCTAATGCTAAATGAATCAAACATTCTCTAAACTTTAACTCATTTAAAAATGAGTAATTAAATTTTAAATTTAGCTTTCAAAATCTCTGAATTTTTAAATTTTTAAAATTTAGTTTATCTAATGATTTTTAGCTATCATATTTCTTTTTTAAAAAAATTAATTTTTAATATCTTGATGTGAAATTTTACACAAACGTTGAAAAAAATCCAATCTATTTAAAAAAAAAGTTCCAAAACTTTTCAAAAGAAAAAAATATTTATTTATTTTTTAAATTAAAAAAATATAAAAAAGAAAAATAATTGAGAATGATTTCAAATTTTTGATAAGCCTCGTATAAATCTCATTAAATAATTTTCATCACAAACTATTTATATGATTTTTTTTTTAGAATAAATGACAAAAAAACTGAAAATAGACTTAAAGTTCAAAAGCTTAATTTCAAATAAGTTAAAATTGAGGAAAAATTTCACCCATTTAGCCAAATTCTAACATAAAATACATGCACAAAATTAAATACTACAAAATACAAAATAAATAAATAAATAAATAAAATTCTCACACCTAATATTAATTGATTTTAATTTTGAACTTTAAATTTTTATAATTGTTAAATATATCAAAACAAATTTTATAAAGATATCTGCAGTAACGCACGGGATATAAAACTAGTTTTTGCTGAAAGTCCAAATGAAAAGGAAAATTATTTTAATGGAGGACAATATTGATTAGAATCTAATAGTTTTAGGATAATTTCACTCTACTTTGATCTTCAAAGACTTAATTGATGTTATGTATATCATTAGAAGACTTATTTGCAGTCTTCCAAAACAAAAGCGCCTTTTATTTCTTTTCTTTTGCTTTTTATCAGAAGTCTCTGCAAAACCCTAAAAATTAAGTTACCAAAATAAGCTCTTAACTTCAGTTACAAAATTCAATCAAACTAATGAAAGCCTAAAATCTCCAATGTATCGCCATTGTCAGCCCCATCAACATAAAAAGAGGCTTCGCTGACTGTAATCCACTCTCCAATGGATGCGCGTAGAGCCACCACCACAGTCCCCAGGGTACGGCAGGTTGGATTCTTCACTCCCAACGCTCCGCCAACTCAGCCGAGTCGGACTCAGTCATTCCCTCTCGATTCTAACTCTCCATCACCCTCCAATTCTCCAGCGAGCAACTCCTTATTGCCCGTAATGATCCCTCCGCCACGTCACCTTTCCGATAACCTAGCTCACCGCGCCACGTCACCTCTCCCTGTCCCCGAACCCTCTGCCTTCCGCCGCCGTTTCCGCGGGGACCACGTGGCGGTGGTCGGGAGCTACAATCCAACTGAGACGCTCCTAGGCGCGTCGCCTCCGCTGGCGTCTCCTTCGAGTAGAGTGATTGGAGATGGAGAGTTCTCGGAGGAGTCGTCTCCTGGTTGGTTTCGGAGGAGTAATTCGGCGAAATTCGCTTCGAGTTTTAGCGGCGGGTTTGATTTGACGTCGGTTAAGTCATCAGAGACGTTGGGATTTCGTCAAGATCAAAAACCTGTTGTTGCTAGATCCAAAGGTAAATTGCAACTACCACTCCCCATTTGCCGTTATTTTTTATTTTCTTACTGATTGTAGTTTGGATTTTTAATAATAAAGAAAGTTGTAATCTTGCAGAAGAGAAAAGTGGAGCTGCTGTTGTGGAACCTCAGATAAATAAAGGGCGTTCTTCTTCTTCGAATACAAAGCCATTGAAAGAGAAAACAACGAAAGCTGAAAGACGTGCTTTGCAAGAAGCGCAACGTGCTGCAAAAGGTCCCTCCCACCCCCCAATATTTGCTTCATTTAGAAATAAATTTTTAATCCCTTTTGAATCATACAGAAACTAAAAAAATGCGTTCATTTTAACTTATTTAATGATAGTAGAGTAGAACTTACGCCAGCCACTTTTTCTCATTGTTCGTAGTTCACCACATTTTTTTATAGGTAAGAATGTTTCTGAGGGAGTATCTTCTAGTAGACCTGTGAAGCAGAAGCAGCAGCCGGTGCAGAAGAAAGATGCTCAACAAGGTGCACCTTCAATTGCAGCTTCTGATAGGAAAGGAGGTGAACTGCCATCAGAAAAAGAGAGGAGGAAAGATGCCCCTCCACCTCGCATGCAATTTGATGACAAAAGTCGAGTGGAGAAGGCTAAAAGGCGTGCTGTGGTCAATCAAACTGAAGCTAGGAATAGGGTTGAATTGTTTCGACACTTACCTCAGTATGAACATGGAACTCAGCTTCCTGATCTTGAGTTGAAATTTTTCCAACTTGATCCAATGCATCCAGCTGTTTACAAGGTACTGCTTTGTTTAGATATTGACTTTATACGTTTATGCATGAATTTCTTCATACAATTGCACAAATCATAATATGGAAACACAATTTTGGGTTGACACTACATGCTTGATCCGTGTTGCTCAATTTTCATCCAGTTTTCTAATAAATTGTCAAGAAAAATACGAATGCATTTGCAACATGTCTAACATGCACCTATAGACTGATGTCTGTTCATATGTCCTTGGAACTTAGGTACTCAAGTTTCCTCTTGTAAACTGAACTCGTGTTAAATAATCTTGAAAATGAAATTAAATGGATGATATCAATATTTTGAAAAAACTAGATTTTTGATGTGTGATGGATGAATTTTCTAGATTTTACTGTTCAAGCGAAGACATCATGTATGCACACACACACAATCATTCCCTACTTGGTTGCACACTGTTGTGTGGCATTGGTGTAGTCTGCTTTATTACTGATGTAGCTGTGAATATGTCAGGTTGGCCTACAGTACTTGGCTGGAGATATCTCTGGAGGTAATGCTCGTTGTATTGCAATGCTTCAGGCTTTTCAGGAAGTCATTAAAGACTACTCTACCCCACCAGCGAAATCTCTTTCTAGAGACTTAACTGCAAAAATCAGTAGCTATGTTTCGTTTTTGATAGAATGCCGACCACTTTCCATGAGCATGGGGAATGCAATTAGGTTTCTAAAGAGTCGGATTGCAAAGTTGCCTTTAACTCTTTCTGAATCAGAATCAAAAGCCTCCCTTTGTGCAGATATTGTTCATTTTATAAATGAGAAGATAGTACTTGCTGACAATGTGATAATTAGGCATGCTGCTACCAAGATCACGGATGGAGATGTTCTTCTCACATATGGATCATCATGCATTGTTGAGATGATTCTGTTATATGCCTATGAGCTTGGGAAACAGTTCCGTGTTGTTATAGTGGACTCTCATCCAAAACTTGAGGGCCAAGCTCTACTCCGTAGGCTGGTGGGAAAGGGACTGAGTTGTACATATACTCACATAAATGCTATTTCTTATATAATGCAAGAAGTTACTCGAGTTTTCTTGGGCGCTTCCTCAGTATTATCTAATGGAACTGTGTTTTCAAGGGTTGGGACTGCATGTGTTGCTATGGTTGCCCATGCATATCGTGTTCCAGTCTTGATTTGCTGTGAAGCATATAAATTTCATGAAAGAGTACAGCTTGATTCAATCTGTTCAAACGAATTAGGTGTGTATGTTTCCTTGAGAATCAGATCATATTGCTTTATCCCTTGATTACATGTATGTTCTTTGATATGAAAAGACCATAAAAGAGCATTTTCATATTGCTTGCAGGTGATCCAGATGCTATTGCGAAGGTTCCTGGAAGAATGGATATTAATTACCTGGATAATGTGACCAATAAGGACAACCTTCAGCTTTTAAATTTAATGTAAGCTTTCCAGATTCTCTATGACTTAAGAAGGGGAAAAAAGAAGAACTTCTTAATATTATCTTGGTCTTGTACTGTGACAGGTATGATGCCACTCCTGCAGAATATGTCTCTATGATCATCACTGATTATGGGATGGTAAGTCATGGTGTCATACAATACTTGATTGTTTTGCATTATGCACATCATCTCTGTGTTGCATTATTGTTTAATGAATCTTTAAAAATGATCAGTTAATGTTAGTTTGATCCCATCTAAATGGATATCCTTGCTGTTGTTTTGTAATAGTGAATTTACAATGCTTCAGTCATTCACTTACTTTGGGATGCATCGTGTGGGATGCAAAGTTGCATGCAATCTTCCTCGTGTCTTGAGTGTATATGTAGTGTAATGTTACACATACTAACATAACTTGCAAATAATAGAGGTAGGTTCTTCTTTATCTGTCAATGCCATGTCAATAATGCAATACATCCCTACATTGTAGTAGGAAAATAATAAATAAAATATTGAGTTAAAAGCAGTTAAGTATTAACTACTACTATGCAAGGCAATTATTATTATTTAGTTCGGTGCCTGATAATTGCTTTAGGTAACTCTCTAATTACGGTATCCAGACATGTAAACAAGTCAATAACATTGATAAAAAAACTAATTTCTGGGGATGCAAGATGTATATATTTAAACTTTGTTGTTCGGTATGGTGATTGAAGCATTGCTCCTTTATTTCCACGAGCAAAATGATGTTCAAGTTTAATGTAGCTGGTTAAATAATTTAATCTATATTTTCTTTATTCTCTGGTATTTCTGCACCAATCCTTTTCTTAAAAAAAAAAAAAAATATCTGTTGTGATGCATGCTACCTTTTATATTAACCCACTGTTTTTAAGATGCTTGAGATTTCTTCCTGATGATTGGCCATATTCTTATTGCTTTTATTGCTACAGATCCCACCCACAAGCGTGCCTGTCATTGTGCGCGAGTATATGAGGGAGCACTTGTGGACATAGGAAAGTTAGTAACTAACTGGAGGATGCTTTGTCTCAGTGAAGGATCCTTAAGTAGTGGTTCCCTTGCATGGGATAGTAAGACGTCAAATTCTATTACACTTAGTTGGTGCCTCTTCTAATCGTTCTTTACATCAAAATGATGATTCTATACCTCGGCACGTGTATCTCTTATTTTAATTTTTTTTTTTTGGCAATAAAGAGAACAGTGCAATTTCTGCCGCTCCAGAGTTTTGGAGGTGGTTTCCTGTCAGTTTTGGTGAAGAGCCTGAGAAGAATGAATGCGCATGGTTTCAGAAATTACGGTCCAACAGAATAGGTCTTCTTTTGCTGAAAAGCAAGGAAAATATTCTAGAGCAAATTATCATTTAGTCCCTGTTTTAGCAAAATAATTAGTTAGTCCCTCAGGTTTAGAAAGTCTAATATCGCATCTTTATGTTTTCATTTCTGTTTACAATTCAGTCCTTCCGTTAAGTGTCTGTTATAAGGTTATGAGCTGTTACCATTACCGTTTTAGGGGTTTTTCTTTTCTTTTTAAATATTAAAAATTAATAGCCATAGATGGTCAAGTATTTATTTACTCAGATATTTAAATGTCCTTTAGGAATATAACAAATATAGTCAGAGACAACTAAAGGGCATCTGGAATTGAAGATTCTGTGCATGGTAAATCTCAAAGCCAGGTGCATGGTCAAAACCACCTTTAGGCAATTCAGATGGACTGCTAATGGCACTATAAGAGGGGAAAATCAATTGTAAGAACTGCAACGATCGTTGTATAAAGTAATAATAATAATTAAAAAATAAATAAAGGCCAGACCAAGCGACATTAAAAATTTAGGAGCTTGGCTGTGTAGCATTTTGCTACAATTACAAAAAGTAAATTGAATTCATCATGTAAATTAACATCATGAAAAGGAAACTCTGCTTCCAGATCCTTCCGTCCAGCCAATAGCAAATTGCGATGCTAAGTTGTCAAGCCCAAAGATCGGGTAGCACAACCAGATGCAGCAACCGATTAGTTGGGCTGCCTAATGTACATATTGTCATGTTCTTATCATCAAAAAGCATTAATTTGTTAGCTTCTGGTACAATACTTGATATTTATGGGTACAACAAAAGGTTAACAAAGAATGCCCAGTTCCCCTCGTGCGTGGATGCTGCTAAATTACAGATGGACTAAGTAGGAGACAGCCTAAATTACCCTTTCCTTCCATCAACTAAATTACATCTAAGTTACAACCTGTATTCTCATTCTTCAACGTGTCTTCGTCATCATTTTTGTTTCTTGTCCGACCCAACAGCGTTATCTGCTGCCAATTCCAGCAGTCCCTCGTAGTCTATCTCAGTTGACTTGTACTTCAACTTGATCCCTCCTTCAGTCCATGACCTGATACAAAGAATAGCCTGTGTGCTATCATGTGGCATACAAAACCGTTGCTTGTCAATTTCATCTCCTTTACTGCAAAACAGTTCTTCAGGTGCGACTGAGGTTGGCTGCACCACCAAGAAATCCCGGGCCATCACCGAAAGACGTGGATAGCGTGTGCTGTTGACCTTCCACCACTCCAGGACATCTGTTGGTATTGGAGCAGGAGGCTCTGACAGATACTGAGTGAGCTCATCAGTGGCATTGCTCAAGCTCGCTCTTCGCTTCTTCCTAGCAATTTCCTCTGCAAAAGAAACACCCCCTCCATCTTCAATCTCCTGAGCACCATACCCACTTGTCATGGATGAAAAATGGCTGGTAGAGTAATTTCTTATGAACAGAGTTCTGGCTTCATCTAGATAGTTTCCTGAGCTGAGGCTCTCAGGGATGAGCTCACATTTGATTCGGGGATCCAGAATTGCTGTCATGTAAGTGAATATGTTGCAAACTTGAGTGATGTAACTCCTGGACTTTGTCCCCATGTCTTCAGCAGCATTTTTTAGCCAATCTGGGTTGTGACGGGAATCTCTGCATAGGGTAATCATCTCAGAGATGTGATCCATGAAGAAGAGAACCAGCCCAATAGTGAGGAACTTATTTGTGCATATGTTGTTTGTGGTTTTGTAAAAGGGTTCTAAATATCCATGCACGATACTAACTGCATTCTTTTCTGCAGAGCTCAGAACCATCCTCCCGGCTAATGTCTCCTCATGCTTTCTCATAACACCATCCAAGGACTTACCAGCCTGAAATCACAAATAAAACCCTAGTTCATATTTTCTCACTATATCTCATAACTTATGTTAGAGATCTCACGTGAAGGAGCAGAGCAATTACCTTGCGGACAATATTAAGCATCTGGTAATTACCACTCCAGCGTGCTGAAGTTTCAAGTGGAAATTTCCAACTGCCTTCCTGATAAGCTGCTGTTAGTTGAATAAAATCCTCTGACATCTCAGCTGATGAATTTAGCTCTAGTACAAAATCCCTGACCTTAGAGATTACTGGTTTTGTGGTTCTTAATCCATCATCTATAATCAAGTTCAAAGTTCGAGCAGCACAGGGAATATAGCAGAACAGCCCCATTTTCTGACCATCTAACTCCTCTTTCAGAGTATGGCAGGCATGAATGGCATTCTGACTGTTATCATGGGTGCATGAGAGGATTCTATTCTCTATGTTGTACATCTTGAGAACCTTCGCCAGGCAATGATATATCTCAGAACCACCACAAGGGTAAGGTACTCGACATATGTCAAGAAGGACCTGTTGAAAGGACCAGTTTTCATCTATCCACTGACACGTGACGCTCATATAGAATATTTGCTCATAGGAACTCCAGAAATCCAGAATAATTGAAACCTTAGAAGAAACCTGTTCCAAAGCAGCCCTCACATCTTCCTGCATGCTCCTGAAAACTTCACAGAATACTGCTTTGTACCGCTCGCCGGGCCAGAGTTGTATCGAAGGGTTCAGAAATTTAAATGAGTTTGCCAGCCACTTTTCCTCCAAGGTTGAAGGAGGAAGAGAAGCTAAGATGAGCCACTTAATGAGCAACCAGTTTAGATGATCATAATCCATTTGCTGTTTCCCTTGTTGTTGAGATTTCTTGACCACGGTGATGGGTTGTGGTGCTGAACTAGTGACTGAATCTCCAGACTTATCATATCCTGGATGCCGATTACTCAGGTGCCTCCCCAAATTGCCTTCATTAAATAAATAAAGAGTATTATATGCATACAAAAATTCCCTTCATCTGAAAATAGAACATGAGAACGTGAAACAAAGAGCAGTTTGGAGAGTTCAATATTTAGAAGATAGCCAATTTAACATGATTTCGAGACAACAGACTCATAATGCAGCACATAGCTCAGTTTAGTAGTTTCAATGTTGGATATAACTCATGTTGAACTTAGATGCTTACAACACTTGAATTTACAAAGGCAATGAAGAGACGAGGAAATGGAGCTAGCATAGGAGTCATACCTGTGGCAGTTGCAATAGAATAGCTTTGTCCACAAAACTTGCACCGCCGACTCTTTCCATCGGGAGCAGTCTCAAAAAATTTAAGATAAACTGAAGTCATAGTCTTCTTTCGTTTTGTTGGAACTACAGTAGTTCCCTTATCTGAGGATCCCAGTCCAATATCTATTGGATCAACGTTTTGAATGAGTGCCACATCCATCATTGACTTGGGATGATCCATATCTACAGCAAGCAACAATCAAGTACATTAAAGGTGCAATGCTAATAATTACTTCTAATTCCAGTTTTCCACATCAAAGTATGTGAGGGGAAAAAAAAATGATTGAACAGAGCTTTTATCTTTTCATCGCTTAGTGCTGTTAATCCATAACATACCTAGGTATATAAATCGATTGTTCATCACTTGACGAATAGGATTTGGTACATAATGAATGTATTCACAAACCAAAACGTACCATTTCAACATTATTAAAGGATGGAAGTTCAGTAATCAAGAAATACATCGTTAGAAGCATAATTTAAAAATTCTCAAAAGAATTAATATGACAGACATGTGCTAATAAGCATAATGTGATTTCTTTCAGCCAGTGAGCAGAATGAGCATGATAAAAACCAAGAACACAAACGTTTATGCATTCAAATTTGAAATTTTAGCAGGACAAATTCACAATGTAAACCATTTAACTTTAAACAGAAACAAGTCAAAGAAACCAATGATCATTACAATGAGAGACAATGATTCATAATAATAATAATAATAAAAGCAAGAATTTAAATCGAAAACCCATCAATTTTATAGAAACAATACCTTCAAGCATAGAGCTTTACAGTCAAATGTTCCAGAATGTAAGAAATGAATCCAAAACCATCTAAGGGACCAAACTTAAAATGTGAAATTGGAGGTCACCTTTGTAAGTTTTGAACGCATTATTTACAGTCCACTCCGTTTGGTTTGGAGCTGGTCTCCCACTAACAGTTCCTGTCTGAAACAACACAAATATACAGACACAATAATTAGAACACAACAACCTAAACCTACTATTTGCAAACACAGAATAACAGTGTCAAAACCCAAAAAACAAAAAGAAAACGAATTCTTAATAACAAGAAAGTTAGTAGCTTGAACCTTCTTTCTTACCCCAAAATTCATTTCGTCCTTTTAAGATTTCAATCTTTGTGGGTTCATTCTACCAACAAAAATCTGAAACAGAAGAGAAAAGAAGAACCCTTAAATTATATATATAAAAATTCAAATCAAGAAAGAGAGCAGTGTTTTTTGGTATAAGTGCGGGAGGAGGTGGCGATAGTAAGTAACTGACCCTTGATCACTGAATTAGGAGTTTTTTTTTTGGTAAATGAAGAAGAAAAATTTAGAGAGAGAGAGTGTGTGTGTGTGGAAGAGAGAGACTTTTTAGAGAGAGAAAAATGGAGGGAGGGAGGGAGATCAAAGTTGGGAAACGAAGAATGAAAGGCTCTGGATCTAACTTAGCCGGATCTAAGCCGAGCAAGAAGAGACAGATATATTTTGTTTTTGTAAAAAAAAAAAAAAAATTTATTAAGTTGTGAAAAGGGAGAGAGTCTGCCTGTGAGTGTGGCTCGGCTGGTGGAAAAGGAATGATGAGCGAAGAAGTTTTTAAAAGAACTCGAGTGAGTGGCTCGGAGCGAGTGTGAGAGACTCAGGTGGAGTTAGGAGTATATTGGAAGAACAAAAGGCTTGACTCAGTCAGGAGTTTGGACTTTGGAGCCAGCTTTGTCCTTATTTATTATTATTATTATTTTTGGTCATTTTACGTTTTATTTTTAAGTTTCTTCCTTATGTTGTCGAGCCCCAGGTGGAGCTTCTCGCTTATTCTGAGCTTCAATTTCACTCTTTCAAATCCAACGTTCCTTCCCATTTCTTTCCTTTTCGTTTTTTATTCTATGCAATAGAAGTGAAACCCTTTCTCACCCCTGAATTTTATACAATACAAGACAAGGTATCTACCCACTGCCTTAAATTAACGGTGCAACTCTACTTAGTTTTTAACTAGCATATATCCCACGTATCAGAGTGAGCTATATAATATTTTTATATATTCATTTATATGAAATAAAAAATTTAAAAATAATTATTTAAAAGGATCTTGTGAAAAAAATTAAAAAATAAATTAAAACATATATCTCATATTTTTGTTACAGGGTTAGTTAAATAAAAAATCTACAAAGTTGAGTAATATAATATTGTTAATTAGATATTGTTTGATATAAATATGTATTTTATTAAAAATATGTATAATAACTGATAATTAAAATAATGATATGGTAGTTTTTTAAATTTTAGATGACTGATTTTTACCTATATTCTTCATATGTAATTTGTTAATGAGATAGAGAGACCATCGAAAATTAAAAAGAAAAAAAACAAAAAAAACTTTATCAAATCAAGAATTTGGCAAAAAAAAAAAAAAATAGAGGTAAAATTACACACATTAAAAATTAAACGATCAAAACAAAGTAAAGATCATAAAAGAAGAATCAAAATAAAAAAAAATTTCACTAAAAGCAAAGGAAAATAAAAAAAAATTTATAAACAATAAGGCCCAAAAAAAAATTCATTATACATACGGAAGGAACAAAAGTAAAACATAATAGAATTTTAATAACCAAAATAAAAAAAAATCACAAAATAAGAACCAAAACATAAAATGTTTTTTACTAAAACCCAAAAAACAAAAAAACTTAGAATAGTGAAACTATATTTAATTTCAGTGTAGAAAGAAGAATGATTA